CTGCCTGTGGGGGAGAGAGGGCTCCCCCTGAGAGAGGGGACAGGAGATCCCCAGGGCACACCAAGGCTCCCAGGACCACCCCTTGGGCCACCCAGATCTGCAGGCTTGGTGTATGTGGTTGCTGGATGCAGTGCTCTGAGGACCCCCTGCTGGACCTCCTGGTGGACCTCCTGGTGGGCCTCCTGGTGGACTTCCTGGTGGGCCTCCTATTGGGCCTCCTGGTGGGCCTGTTTCCTGGGAGCAACTTCAGAGAAGAGGGTGGGGCAGGTGGTGGCCTTCACTAAAAGCAGGTCCCCAGGTCCCACAGTTCCCCCTTTCACTGCTATTCTGGGTTCCTCATCTGGTGGCTCACCTGGTGGGGTGACCTGGACCCTTCCCACTGAGGAGTCTGATCCCCTGGTCATCAGGCCCTGCCCGGGCCATGGCTACTGCATCTGCCATCAAAATCGGCAAAGGAGTACTGAGTGATGCCCAGGTGGGTCCTCTGCCTGCCAAATATGTCCCTCTCTGCCCCCGTCGTGTGGTGCCGATGACCAGGGTCTTTTCCTGCTGGTCTCACCATGAGAAGCCGGGTGACAGGTGAGCCCAGAGCTCTAGACCTGCGGAGCCAGAACCCTGGAGCAGAAAGCACCAACTCCCCAGGTGGACTATGCACAGCACTGGCCAGCAGAGCCTCTCAGGTCTGTCCCACCTGAGGGGACGCCAAACCAACCACACAGCAGCAGGTGACGACAGCGTGTGCTGTCTGGGAGGGCCACCATTCCCACACACCTCCGCACGCCTTCCAGGCCTCCTGTCCCTGTCAGGAGGTGTGACATGCAAGGACTAGTGTACCCAGGGCTGGGCCTGCTCTTGTGCCTCCTGCACTGCAAGGTGGGTCCCCTGTCCAGCCCTGCGTGAGGGAGGGCCCACTCCTGTGGCCGAGATCCTGGACTTCCATCTCCCATCAGGTGGGATGTCACTCTTCCCTGTCAGTCCCAATAAGCGCAAATAAACCCTGGCATCTCTCTCTCTCTCTCTCTCTCTCTCTCTCTCTCTCTCTCACACACACACACACACACCACACACTCACTCACTCACACTCTTAATACAAGCAAACAGACTGAAAGGTGGAGAAAGGTGGCTGCCCGGCCAGGGAGCTGGGGACCCGGGAACAACACAGGGTGGGTTCCTGGTTTTCTCTTCGTCTCCTATATCCCAGGCTTGGACCTGAAGAAGCAGGTGACCCAGAACTGCCAATTGGAACAGAAGGAAAAAAAAAAAAAGCCTGTTCTCTTCACCCAAAGTCCAGGAGGGGGTCGTCCTAACAGGACAGAGCACATTTAGAAAATAACCACCGCCCTCCAGCCAGACACTTCAGAGAAGCTGAAGGCCCATCCATGCCAGCAGGGTGGACAGACAGCTTTCCACCTCTCCAGTCTAGAACCTTCCAGGGAAGCAGTGTCACAAGAGGGCTCAGGTCCACCCTACTCCCAAACCCACACCCATGTCCAGGCAGGTCGACTTCACTCCGGCAAAGACTCCTGTATGGTGCAGAAGCTGCACTGAGGACACGGCTTGGCGGAGCTCATCGCAGCCCTCTGACCCTCTCCGGGGTCCAGCTGAGGGCAGAAAGACAAACTAAATGGCGTCATGTGGGGACCTGCGTCCTTCAGGTCTAAGGATGGCACAAGGGACAGCCCTTTTCCCTGAGATGGGATACTGATTTTGACCTACTGTCTTGGCTGGGCAGGGTAGTTTCAGAGGGTCACAACGGGATGTCCCTACCCTGACACCTCTCACTCTAGGGGCCCAGGAACCCATGTGAGGTTTCTGCCAACTCTCAAGTGCGTCTATTTCAAATCAAATATTTTGTGCTAGGCAAATGGCCATTGGGTGAGTCCACGGACCCCAGAGTACCAACTGTGGGTTGGCCTAGGCCAGGACCATTTATCGTCTGGTCCCTTTGATCCTACTCTAAGAGAAAGCCCTAGGTTCCCAGGCAGCAGTGTCAGCTTGGGCCCTGTGTCCTCAGACAGTTTGGGTACCCCTTCTCCCAGGGACAGTGGCTGAGTGAACAGCTCTTGGCCTTTTGCAGGGGAGCAGGGGACCACCGCCGTTCATGCCGTCTTGGGGACGAGCCTTGCTCCCTGCCACCCGGCCTCGCCTTCCATCGTCTGAAACCGGCTCAGGTCTGGAGGGAGTTCTCGGCGTGTGCTGTGGTGCTGCCCTCAGCCTCCCGGGCACCCACTCTCGGCTTCTGGTTGACAGGTCGAGCAGGACCCTGCCTGACTGCAGTCTTACCTGGAGGAACGTCACATTCTAGTCCCTGTCTCAGTGGCTCTCCCAGGCCGGCCCCCAGGGGCTGCCCAGCACAGTGAGTGCCCTCCTGGCCTCAGCTGCTTCCTGGTCCTGTCGTCCCCACCCCTCTCTCTATCAAAGCTTCTAAGGACCGTCCTAGAATTCATGAACTCCATAGGGTGTTAAGTCACATGCCATGTGTACACACCATCCCTGGTCAACTTGACTTCCCACTGCCCTTGATCCTGTCCCTCAGACTCCAGTCCCCAGTGCGGTCCCGGCCAGCTGGATGGGCATGCATAGAGGTCTGCAGGCCCTGCTCAGTGGGTTATGGTATTGGTCTAGTGGCCGGGAGGGAGGCCAGGCGCGTGGGCCTCAGGAGGGTGCCTGTTGTCTTGCATGACAAGAGACTCTGCACCTGCTTAAGCCAGGTGTCAGGGAGGATGGCACCAGAGTGCCAGCTTACTAGGAAAGGGTCACTGCAGGCCCACAGGGTACAGGAGGATCTAGGGAGTCAAGTTTCTCTGTTTTTTCAATTTTGTAACATTCTGTTATTAATTATTACTAATGTGTATTATGTGTCATGACCACATCACTGTACTTGGCTTTTCCATCCTGGTAAACTTTGGACTGTTAAGAACATTTCATTTTCTCGATTGACATGCATCAGCTACACGTATGAGTGGGGTCATGGGATATTTCAACCCAGGCGTACATGCATGGTGTATGAAGCTGCACTGAGGTTACTGCTTGGTGGAGCTCATTGCAGTCAGCTGACACTCTCCAGCCTCCCTTTGCCCCTCATGCGTCCCCGTCCCAACCTCTGCTAATCACGAGTCCACATTCGGGTGGACTTTTCTGTGGCTCCCACACACCATGCTTGGCATTCTACTTCTGGCCAGTCTCACTTCACACCACGCCCCCAGGTCCAGCCATTGTGCTGCAGACGGCAGGACTGCATTCTTCAGAGCTGAGTAATGTTCTGCTGTGAGTGTGTCCCATGCTTTCCTTATCCATTCACCCACGGATGGACAAGACTCGGCTTGGCTAACACCTCAGTGCTGACCTTGGTGGAGCCGGCCTGTGGGATCAAGAAGTCAGCCTCCTCGGGAGCTCTGCACTTTAATAACTAAATCCTAGCCTCGCCCTCAGCCTTTCCTGCACTCCAGCTACGGGAGGTGAGAGAACCTCCGTCTGCTCCCGTGGGTGTGCTCTGGATTTCACACTCGGCCTTTGGTTGGCGATGAGTCGCCTCTGGCCTTCCATTGCTCTTCTCCACAGAATGGGGTTTCCCTAAGAGCAGCCGCCCAGCTCCACCGTCTGTGGCCCCTGTTTCCGCGGCCCCTCTTGGTGCCTGAGACCCTGCCCCGGCCAGTCCATCCTTCCTGTTCCACGTCAGTCTTTCTACATCCACTGCTGGTGGGATCTTAGGCTACAGCCGTACAGAGGGCTTGAGGCCATCTACACGCTGTCATAGGTCCTGGCAAGCTGGCCAGTGGGTGACCACACTCTCAAGTCCCAGTTTACAAACTGTCCTCCTTCTTAGACCGATCCTGGCCCTAATAGCCACAGGCCACCTGGGCATCCGGCTCTGAGATGAGCCCCCGGACGAGCTTACTGGGGAGCTCCTTAGAAGCCCCCAGTGGGAGCAGGATGGGGGCGAGAGGAGGTGAGCCGCTCTGCAGTCACAGCAAGGCCCCGACTCATCGCACAGGCCCCCAGGAGCTGCCCCGCGCTGGACAAGGGGCTGGACATTCATATCCTGTCCTGGCCAGCTGTGCCCACCAGTCTCCAGAGGGACTCACTGAGCTGTCCACTGTGAACGGAGAAATTGAGGACAAGAACCTCAGTCCCGGGGGTGGGTCAGGTGTCTGGGGCACACGGGCTCCGTGGTGCACACAGCTTGGCCTGTTTCTTTTCTTGTCTTTCTTTTTTTGGGGGGTGGTACTGGGGATTGAACCCAGAAGCACTTAACCACTGAACCACATCCCCAGCCTCTTTTTATTTTTATTTTATTTTATTTTTTGTGGTGCTGGGGAATTGAACCCAGGCTTTGTGCGTGTGAGGCGAGCATCCACCAACTGAGCTACATCCCTAGCCCCTCCCCAGTCCCTTTTACATTTCATTTAGAGACAGAGTTGCTTAGGGTCCTTCTAAGTTGCTGAGGTTGACTTTGAACTGGGGATCCTGCTGCCTCAGCCTCCCCAGCCACTGCACCTAGCTCAGATCACCTTAAATGTTTAGGATTAGTCAGCTACGAAAAGATGCTGGGCCAGGCGTGAATTACGCAAAGAAGGGCAGCTTTTTTTTTTTTTTTCTAATTAACAGACAAAAATCAATGAAGTTTGACTAACCTGAACGTCAATACTGTATTATCATCACTGAGGGGTGTGAATTGGCTCAGCCTCCACGGCTTTATCTCCCAAAGCTAAACACACACGTGCAACATCATAGGAATCCTGTCCTAGGAAACATGTTCAGGGCAGCAATTTTTACGATAGCAAAAACAAACAGAAGAGAAGCTACCCAAATTCCATCAACGGAGGAATACGGGGGCTACCTGTGGCCCTCACACCAGCAGAACATGACACAACAATAAAACGAACCGCCTCCAGCTGCCCACAGAAGCACAGACCGTCCAGGAAACATATAGTTTAGTGGAAACACAATCAAGATACAGAAAGCTCTCCCCGCATGCCCTTTTTAAACTTCAAAAAGAAGCCATAGCAATATATAGTTTATGCACCTATACACCAGTAGTGATACTGTTTAAAAAATGAACTAAGGCATACAATTCAGGATGAGTTGAACTCTGGGGCAAGGCTGAGGGACGTGCATGGTTGGGAGGTGTTGGTGATAAACTGTTCACTGGTGGTGGATGCCCAGTTTTCCTGTTAAGATGCTGCATAAACATCGCAGTCACACATCACTGGGAGAAGGCTTCCCCGTGTTCAAGCCCCGTGAGCTCTTCGACCTTTGTGACCTTTGATTCCCTGCACCTTTCCTTGTGGTGGGTAGCAGTGACACCCGCTGGCTGGCGTCAAGGGCAGAGCAGGAGTGGGAAGGCCTGGAGTCTCCCCGGCCCAGCACACCTCTGAGAGGGACCAGGTCTTGTTTGGAAAGACACCTGAGACACTAAGCAGGCGGGCCTGGGGGTGGGCCTGGGGGAGGCGCTGCCCTGGGAGGGGACCCGTAGTGCTTACCCTTCCATGTTGCCTGGTTGCTCGCGACAGCCTGGTGACATGAGGTTTCCAGAACGGTCCACGTGGAAGAGCTGACTGTGGCGTGTGGCTTGCCAGAGCACTGCTCTCAGACAAGGGTGACACTGGCATATCTGCTACTGAGGTTGGAGAGGGGTTGTCCTGAAGGACATCAGGTGGCTTTGGTGATGCCCCTAGGTGTCCTAATCTGTTACTGATGGCCATGGCAGACCGTCAGGTGTCCCTCCACTATTTCCCCTTTCCCTTTTTGATCAGCCTCTATGCTTAGCTGGGTATCTGGCCAGTCAACCCCTGGCCCCAACTTCTTGCAGCTAGATATGGCTGTGAGAATATGTTCTAATTAGTGAAAGGTAAGCAGAAGTCCTGAGTACAAGCCTGGGAAACGCCCTTCCTTCCCACTAGCTGCCATGTGGAGTGATGGTGGGTGCTCCAGCAACCCTCTTGGGCATGAAGGGGAAGCTATATCCTGAAGCTCAGAGCGACAGAGGCAACCTGGGCCCTGCTGCCAGAGGCACACGCCGCTCAGCACTGCCAGCCTCTGGCCTTGCTTCTGCAAGAGAGAGAGAGCTTCTGTGTGGTTTACCTGTGATTACCCTGCCACCTGTAGCCAGACCTAATCCACCTGATCTCATGGTTCACTCACCTACTCTAGGACTAAGTCAGAGTTGGCAGACCCCCACCATGGATTGACTCGTGGCAGGAATTCCACACCGTGCGCCACGCATGCAGTCTCTCGCGCCTCAGGAGTCTAACTAATTTGTCCTACAAGATGTACCAAGAAACTGCAGTTTAAATTATCATCAATCAAGGTGTTCATCTTTGAGGTAACTTTGTCCAAGTGAGCAGTCATGAGCATCTATTCTGAGTATTTTTTCTCAGCTAGAATGATGAGAACCCTGCTTTAAGGCAGGGTCCCCATTCCCAATTACTTCTTCAGTAATTGTTTAGAATGCAGACTCTTTGGCCGGGGCTAGGACACTGGATTTGAAATCCACTGAACTCTATTCCCAACAAGCACCAGGTCCTCCCGTGTACACCACCATTTGAGAACCCTTTGAAGGTCCCTTCTTCTGTCACAAATGAGGCCCAAACGGCTTTCTAAATATATTTGGAACTGGCTCTGGCAGCACAGCTGAGAGTCCCAGCTACTGGGGGGCAGGGAGGAGGGTGCAGGAGCCAGGAGCCTGGGGTCAGCCTGCTCCCGGGGCCTCCCTGCACCACCCTTGGCCAGATGAAGTGGGCCTGTGGGTCCCCTGTTGGATTGAAATCTTCTGTCTCCTAAAAAGACTTTATTCTTTTCTCTTTTAAGTATCAGACATGAAAACCTTCGTTTTTATCAACTGCATAGCTTCTTTTGAGAGATTACAAATCACGTTCTGCCGTGCTCAGTTTCATCAAAAGCCCAGTTAGGAGAAACAATGCCTGTGATGAGTTTCCTAAGAACATGAGGCGCTGGGTGCTGGTGGGGTTTTTTGTTTGTGTTTTAAGCAGTGCTAAATTTTCCCCATGGAGTGTGGCAGAGCAGGAGCTGCCTCCTGGGGACGCACGGCGTGGCCCCTTGTTTGGATGTACTTTTACTGTATTGTCTCTGGCGCCTGCCATCAGCCTCACGGAAGGTCACTTAATAAAGAACTGTAGGAAATCTGTCACCTAGATGCCTTGGGGACATTTCCCACCATAACATGGTACTTCCTCCGTGAGAAGGAGGGAGAATTTGTCAGCGTATCAGCACACGGGACCGCACTGGCACTGCGGGCTGGTTGGCCTGAAGGAGGTGCTAAATACACACCTGAGGCTTTCCTCCTGCTCGGGTCCCGAGGTTGCACAGGGAACTGTCCCCAGGCCTGCCTTGGACTGCAGGGCGCTTGGCCCTGCTGGTCTTCCTCTGACCTCTTCTTGTTGTCCACCGCCCTCACGTCCCCACGCCGTCTGCCGTGTCCCCGCGCCGTCGGCGGCGTCCGCGTCACTGTGTTTTAATAGGCCGCTGCCAACCTTTGCGGACCGAGCGGGGAGGATGGACAGACTACCCAGCGGCTCCAAATCCGGGCGGCGGCCCCTCTCCGCCCGCCCACCCCACTGCTCCCTGCACTCAACGAAGAGAGGCCTTAAACTCACCGAGGCCATCTGTAGGCCAATGTGACTGCTCCCAAGGTCGGAGGAGAGCGGAGAGCGGGAGGGGAAAGGCCATGAAGGAAAGCAAGGGGGAAAGAAAGAAGAGAAGAGGAAGTAGGGGGGAGAGAGGACGCGCAGGAGGCCGCTGAGCGCCCGCTCCGCCGCCCTGCTCCTGCGGGTCCGGCGCCAGGGACCAGCCGCGCGGCGCGGCTCGGGGGTCCAGCGGTTTCCTCGCGTGTCCCCAGCTTGCTACACACCTTAGAGGAAGAAAGGCGACGACAGGCAAAAGGCAAAAGCATCCATGGTCCCGAGAGTGGCGTGAAAGGTGTCCGAGCCCGGTTGTCGCGCTGCGGTCACACGAGGGCGCTATTTCCGCGGCTCGCGCGGGGATTCGGAGGGTTCGCGGTGCAGCAGGAAGGAGGGCTGCGGGGCGCGCCAGGCCCGGCACCTTTCCCCAGTGAGACCCTCTCCCGTGCACCGAGCCCACGGCCAGGGCCCCGGTGACAGCAGGACCTCCGTGCAGGGCGGCACTGGTGTCCAAGTCTGGCTTAGAATCAGATGAACCCCTGGGGGGCTGAAAAGGGAAGCTTTGTGCCCTAGAACTGGGGGCGGCTGGACGGGGCGGGGCCCCCACGCACCTGCAGGCCGACCCTAGCAGGGACCGGTGGGTGAGGCTCGGGTGCGCCAGGACAGGCCGCCCGTCGTCGGCGGACAGAGGGGAACTGCTGATTGCGCTTGAACCCTGGGGGTCCCGAGGTGTCCGGGCACAGCAGCCAGCCAGCCTGAGCAAGCACCCTGAGACCGCCTTCTCCCCACGTGGCCAGTGAGAAGAGGAGGTCAGAGGGGCGGTGACACTAGAACAGTCCCCAGGTCACCCTTGAGCCCTGGCAGAAAGCCTGTGCTTGTCAGGGACGCTGTCGCCCAGCAGCGACCCACACTGTGTGGAAAGGGCCTCCAGCCTGCCCAGGACCCCGGCTCAGGCCCTCCTAGTGGAAGACAAATGTGGCTCTGGTGTCTCAAGGTGTCTCAAGGGACCTTGGCTCACCTGCCTTCATGCAATAAGATTTTAAGAGCAGTCGCCTCCTCTCTCCTGTCAACAGGACCTTTGCCTTTTTAACTCCCAGGGCGCAGCCCTAGCTGGCTTTTTCTACCAGGAGTCTTCCCTGCGCCTGACCTGCAGAAGGCCAGCCAGCTCTGGCTGGTGCTGCACAGGGCTGAGCAGAGTCCCCTCCGATTCCCTACTGCTGGCAAAGAGGTCCTGGCATCTGCTGCAGGGTGGGGAGGGTCAGGGCTGGGCTGCCCAGGCGGGCAGCCCCTCTGCCTTTGATCTCCTGGTGGGGAGCAGCAAGGGGACTCTTCCCGTGCCTGCCTAACCATGTCTTCCAAGCTCAAGAGCAGGCCTCCTCATTCCCCAGCACACATGACCTTACGACTGTCCTCTCTCCCTGTTTCCCTTTTCCTCCCTCCCCCCTCCCCCTCCCTTTGTTAAAGTTTTTATTTTACAACAGAACTTGCCAAGATGGTCTCGAACTTGCTATCCCCCGCGCCTCAGCTCCCGAGTCTCTGGGTCAAGGTGTGCACCACCACCTGGCTGCACATGGGACTTTCCACGGGCTTTGGATGTAAAAGTGGACCATGCCAGGAAACCTGGAATGGATGGCTGCCGAGCCTTGTGGGAAGGACATCCGCTCCTGCCGGACTCGTGACGGTGCGTGTGAGGGTCAGCTCTGCCCTGGCAGCCCTTGGTTCACTCCTGCTGTGGTCCGCTGGGAAGCTGGTGCAGTGGTGCTGCGCAGGACAGGGCTTCCCCGATTTCACCTGCACCTTCATCTGCACACGATCCTCCTTCCGTGAGGGCTTTGCAAGGGGCTGTCACCTGCAGCCCTTGGAATTGCTGCGATTCTCCTTCACATTCCAATCCAGCAGCCTCAGCGTGCCCAGGAAGACTGCACTGCTCTGATAGCACGACTCTGCACTGCCAGGGACAAAGGTTGGGAACCCCATCGCTCTAGCCCCTGTGAGTTCCTGCTGGGGGCATGAACTTGTCAGTGCTGGGGAGGACACAGGACTGGAATCCTGGTTTCTACCCTTTCAAGCACAACTACAATAAAAATAATCACGGACTCAGAAGAGAGCCAGAGTTGGTGCTGGAGATCCTGGGTTCAAATCCCGCCTCCTCTGGTCGGGGCGTACTGTACTGAGCCAGGTTCTCGTACAAACTCCAGCTCCTCCTCTGCCAGCAAGGAAGCCCTGGCACCTGGGCTGGTGAGGGATGGACACTGGCACGTTGTTTATATGCCCACGTTGACATGAGAGGTGCTGGGAGGTTCCTTCCTTCCTTAAGGAGCTGAGCGGCTCCTGGAGAAAAAAAAAAAAAACAGGTTCTGCTGAAACCAGATGCGGCCCTCCCGGGGCTGTGGACAGGCAAAGCCTGCATCTGTGGCTCCCATGGGAGGAGGGAGGAGCACCCAGAGCCGCATGGCTGGGGGCCGTTCACTGGTTTCCTTCCTGCCAGGCTGGGCCAGGGCTCTCCACCCAAATGCCCTCTGCAAGGAGGAAGTTCCAGGGTCACGGTGACCTGAGCTCAGGAGTAGGTGGGGGCAGGTCGCCAGTGACTCTCACCCGAGGGAGGAGGCGGCCAGGAGGGACAGTGCTCTGGGGAGCATGGGTCACAGCAGGCAGGTGGGCAGCAAGGCCAGGAGCATTAGCACGCTGTGACCAGATGGAAGTGCGAGGCAGGAGCGCCATGGACATGTGCTTTCTCCCGGGCCAGGCGGGGAGTCCACAGTTTAACAAGGAGACTAAACCTAAGCCTCTGGGCGTCGCGGCTGCCCCTCACTCCCCCACAGACCTGGCGGCCTGCGGCAGGCTCTCCCAATGTCCCAGTGAGAAACCAGACTAGTAGTGACCGTTGTTCCTGGAAGACAGATTCCGAGAGGTCACACTTTCCCAGGCCACATCCGAGGGGCGCAGTGGTGACTCCGAGCCTGGTAACCTAGATCCAGAGCCTAAAGAAAACACCAGTGGCCTGCCACCTGTGCCAGAGTCCCCCGAGCTGTGTGGAAGGCTGCTTCCTGTTCTTCCCAACATTCTTCTCTCCTACATCAATAGAAGTTTATCTGCATACATGGCAACTCTCTTGCAGCTACAACTGACCCGGTAATGATGAGATAAAAGTAGAACTGGTATGTGCAATCTTCCAGGCCAGATCCTTGAAAAGATATTATGTGCTCTCCTCCACTCTCATGACATGGATGCAGAATGTGATGGTTGGAGCTGAGGAAGCTATTTGGATGCATACTGGCTCTGAACCAGTCACCTGGAATTTTATGAGATAGAAGTCAGCTTAAGCTTAAGCCTCTGTGTTTTGGATTTCTTTGTTATATCAGCCTAGCATTGCTCTAGCTAGCGTGAGTATATTCATCCAACAACAGCCACAGGGGAGGGACACTAGAGGACCACTGTGTGTGGAGGATGTGCCACCAGGGGGCTATGCCTGATACAGAGCCGCCAGAGTCATGGTCACTGTATTGGCCTCCCACCTTAGTCCATGGAAGCTGCTCCCGAGTTCTCACTGAGTCACACTGAGCCACAAACACCCTTTCCCTCAAAGCAACTTTGAGTGGCAGGATTCCAAGAGCAGCAGGGGAGAGGCCTGAGGTCTAAGGCAGCTCAGCTCTCTCCACCTGAGGTCTAGCCAGCCTGGCTCTCTCCACCTGAGGTCTAAGCCAGCCCTGCTGTCTCCACCTGAGGTCTAAGCCAGCCCTGCTCTCTCCACCTGAGGTCTAAGCCAGCCCTGCTCTCTCCACCTGAGGTCTAAGCCAGCCCTGCTGTCTCCACCTGAGGTCTAGTCAGCCCTGCTCTCTCCACCTGAGGTCTAAGCCAGCCCTGGTCTCTCTGTCTCACCAGTCACCTACAGCTCTGCGTTTAGCTTGCCTCATCTGTGAGGTGACGTGGTGTCTGCCTCCCGGATGGCACATGACAGACATTTAATACTCTCTCCCGGCCCAGCCCCCCACCTGTCCTGCAGAACAGCTTGTGACCTGTGTCACAAGGTGTGACTCCTACCACCTCGGGTCCCAGCAGCCCACCAGGGAAAGGCACGCAGGGAGGCGCATGGCGCCCCAGCCCCCAGCGGGGCCTAGACTTCCAGGAGCAGGAGAGGCCTGGGCAGTGCTGTCCTTGTCAGGAGGCCTCCTACCCCATGGTGGATCTGTGATACCCGGGGGGGGGGGGGCGGCGGGGAGGCTTCTGGGAAGCACCACACTGGGGACCATTGTGTGGACGTGGCGCCCAGATCATGATCAGAGCCTCGGAACTCTTGGTATGACTTCTGGGGTCCAAGGGGCCTGGGCAAGAATGGCTGCTGGGTTCAAGTTCAGGGGGTTTGCTGTTCTGCTGGCTCCAGTCTACACTGAGCAACCTGGGAAACCTCTGCTGGACGTCCCAGGCCGACAACCTGAACCGCTGCCAAGTATCAGGAGCCACTTTCTCAACCAATCAGCAACAATTAGACACTGTGCAAGTAGGTGGATCACAGTCGGCCCAACCCCACAAGGAGTGTTCTCAAATATCAGCTTCCAGCCCTGGAGACAGGTGTCGCTCCTCGGGGACTTAAACTCCCACAGCCTCCAGCCACGTTCTTGGCCCTCCACAGCCCCCGTGGCTCCTCTTGATCCTGGGGCCCCAACCACGTTCCCCTCTGGGATCTGCGGGATCCTGGAAGCAGAGCCCAGATCCCATGTGCCAGTCCTTGTCAGAAGCCAGGCTGCCCCTCTCAGCCGGGCCTCGCCAGCCAAGCTCGCCGTGTGCAAGCAGAGGGGCATCCTCCTCCCTGTCCAGCCAGGGCGGAGGCTCTGGGCTGTGGAGCTGAGTCAGCCCAGCCCAGCCTGCTGTCCCAGCCGCTTCCCCAAAGCTCACATGAAGATTTGGGTAAGACAGCAATGGTGTCAGCAGATCAGATCTGCATTCCAAGACAGTGATCCTGAAGTAGGTTACCAGTCCATTCTATTTGAACTCAGATTAATCATTGCACAGGACATATTTATACTGCAAATCAGACATTCATGACTTAAAACTGAAAATTGGCCAAAGCCCTGTATTTTCATTTGATAACCCTGGCAGCTCTACTCTGAAAGTTCAAGTCCGGCTCGGCTCCTCCCACCTACCCCTCCTCCTGGTCCCTGCTCCACAGTCTCTAGGCCTCCTCCCTCCCGGCAGGCCAGGCCTTTGGTGGGTCCCAGTCGCAGGACCACGCTCTCCTGACTGCTTTGCTTCTGAGTCCCATCTTCCTGAAGTGCAGATCTGACTCCTGCAGAAGCCCCTGCCATGGTGGCCCTCCGCTGCTGGGTGAAGTCCAGTCGCCTCTCCCCCCACCCCCACCTGGCCACGCTGGTCTTTGCTCTTCCCTTCGCCCAGGGCATCCTTTTACATAACCCCTGCTTTGCTCCTGAGGACCTCACAGCCTGGAAAAATCTGAGTTGGGTCTTTCATTATGAATCCCAGTGTCTCGGGCTCAGCGTCCCCTCCCCAGGGCCCCAGTGCTCCCTGATGCCATGTCTCCTCAGGGCACTGACCACGTCTGGTGGGTTGGAGCGCGGTTTTCAATGAGTGCCTGCAGAATCCAGAGTGGGGTCCTGACCACAGGAGTAGGGCCCAGCACGGGAGGTGAGAGGAACAAAAGGGGAGCAAACAAGGGCAGAGGGAAGAACCCAGAGCCCTGGTCCTTGTGCTCCTCCTCTGCCCCCGCCACCATCCACTGGACCAGTGTGCACAGAGGATCTTTCCAGAGCCTCGCAGCAGCCCGCAGGCTTCCAGTCCCCGGCTCTCGGAGGAGTTGCACGATTAGCCTGCCAACAGGGAGCTACTCAGAAACGACCAGACTCAGGACCCACGCCCCCTAGTTCAGAGGCAAGTCTAGAACCATCCGGCCCTCCACCCTGACCTCACCCGCTTGTCCTCTCCCTGACCTTTGCTACCCAGGAAGAGGTCCTGGAAAACAACGGCTTCTTATTTGCAGGGTGCATGGTTGCTATTCCGCACACAGTAATTTCATTCGGCTTAGTGTGTTGGATCTGTGATGATTAAGATTTTTCCCTAAAAAAAAAAAAAAAACAAAAAAATAGAAAAGAGAATGGACCTTTAATTGCCACTGGGACAGACCACTGGTTAAATAGGACCAACGCACTTGCAAGAGGGGAACAGGATGGAGCCCAGGTGGAACCCCTCTGTCACCCTTGGACTCCAAACACTCCAGGAGCATCTTCTTAGCAAGGGACTGGCTTGCTGAGTCAGAGTCTCAAAGGTTTTGTTATCTTGGGGCTGAGGATGTGGCTCACTGGCAGGACACTTGCCTGGCATGCATGAGGCCTTGGGTCAACCTCAGCACAGAAGAAGGAGAGGGGAAAATGTATGTATGAAGCTTTGAATTTCTCTGACTTGGTTCAAAACACTGTGTCAGCTCACGAGTTCTTCATTTGAACATACAGCCCCTCCTCCTGCACACCCTCCCCGTCAATGCCAGGGCCAGGGCCGCTGTTCCATTGCCCACCATCCAGGTAGGGGCCTGCTCTGCTCTGCCCACTCCTCTGCTCCTCCTTCCTCTCAGCAATTTGTTTCTTTTTATTGCTGAACAACACTTTTCTGTGTGAATGCTACACAACTCTTGGTCTGTTCTCTGACAGGGGTTGTTTCTTGTTGTACACTGCGATGGGTAACGTGATCTGAACCTGTCATCTCAGCGACTCAGGAGTCTGAACAGGTGGATCACAAACTCCAGGCCAGCATCAGCAATTCATGGAGACTCTGTCTCAAAATAAAGTTAAATAAGGGCTGGGGGTGTGGCTCAGTGGTAGAGGCCTTCCTAGCATGTGAGAGGCCTGGGTTCAATCCCCAGCACCACAGTCTATAAGCTGCCATGATAAACCTGCTGGACAGACCCACTCATGTCTCTTGGGAGTTTGAATAGGTGTGGATCGCTGGGCCACGGAACAGATGCTCATGTTTTAAAGGAAATGAATATAGTAATTCCTGATGATGTGGCTGCCAAGCCACGCAGCCAGCCTGCTGGTCTCTGCCAGGAAGCGGCAGCAGGACGGTGGAGTGGCAACCCCAGAGGGTTGGAGCGTGGAGGCTGCCACTCACACAGGCGGTCCTGAGAGTCCAAGGTGCCGACCTGTCACCCTTCAGCAGTCAGAACTGAGCATGGGTGCCAACACCTGCTGCAAAGCCCGCTTCATGCAGGCTACAGCCTAGAACCTTTGAGCACAGACCATCCCATGACCTCAACCTCCTGCTTCCTGCTTCCTGCCCTGCTTCCTGCCCTGCATGGTGAAGGTGGAAGTGGGGCGGAGCTAAATGGAAGTCAGGACTCCGGAGCTGACCAATGTCGGTTAGTACTTTCCAAACCCTATCAGCATAAGTTTGGACCAACAGCAGTAACCCAAGTGCTGTAAACCCCCAGACCAGCTCATCAGATGGAGAAAACCTATTTACTAGCTCTCCTCTTATATGGAAAGAGTTCTGCTTTTCCTTCTACCTTTTTAATAAATATGGTCTGTGGATTTCATTCTTCAGATGAATGAGCCGAGAACCTGGAGAGAAGGAACTGATTGGTGGATCGCTGGAGCTCCTCAACACCAAGGGGCGTGGCCCACCAGCCCACCTGCGGCTTTCCACAGTCTTACCAGGTCCACCTGCCGCCAAGGTCCAGAGTCTTCCCCACCAGGAGAAGCAGGGGATTCACCTCAAAACTTTGTTTTGCCAACAACCCTAGGAAGCAGGCTGCACCTAAGCGGTCTGCTAATGTGAAATTAGTCCTTCTCGCTCCTTACACCTGCGACCTGACTTGGGCGTCCAAAGGCCCTGGGGCTGGCTGTTAATGTCAGCCTTGAATACCCAGCATGCATCTCTGGCAGATAACACACAACCGTAGCATCACTACCACACCCAGGAAAACCAACGTGGGTTCGCCCACACTATCTAAGGCCCTGTGTTCCAATTCCCAGCTACCTCACGCATACTGCGACTTCAAACAGATCCCATGAAGGTACACCTGGTGAATTTTGTTAGTGGCTCAGTCTCTTCAAGCGTAGCAAGGGTTTGAAATTTGATCCTCTGCTTCTATTGGCAAGTTAGGTCTGAGTAAGACAGAGGCTTCCAGCCAAGAAGCCTGCCCTGCCGTGTTGGGTTCCGTGTCCTGAGCCAGACCCGGATGAGCCAGTGAGAATTCGGGTTACCGAACACAAACAGGAACAGCACTCCTGCACCCCAGAACCCGACAGGATCACAGCCTTGCTCTGACCGAGGCCGACTCCGGGGTTCACACAGCACTCGGCTCACAGCTAGGTCCACACTTGGGCTGATTGTGGTTGGAAAACCACTGACGCTGTTGGTCCCAACTTCCACTCAGGTCTGCCCACCAGCCGTTCCTCTTGCAGGGCAGGAAGCCGAGGTCCAGGTCGTCGGAGGGTCCACACCGGCAGGTTCAGAGCAGCAGTGTCGCGTGGAGCCGGCTTCTGCAGCGGGCGGGGCCACAGGGCACCCTGGCCACCGAAGGGTGACAGGTCAGTGCACCTTGGCTCACAGGCCTCAGGCCTGCTATGGCTGCCTGACAGGTTCTACGGGCTGCAGGCCATGCTGGCCACCAGGGCTCCAGCCCACACCTCCAGGCTGACCGGTAGGTCTGCAGGGACAGCAGTGGGGGAGCTGTCAGCTCCTCCTCCTCCTCCTCCTCCTCCTTCTCTCTCCCTCTCCCCCCTCTCTCTCCCCCGTCCCTCCCCTTACCCCCTCTCTCTCCCTCCCTCTCTCTCTCCCCCCATCTCTCTCTCCCTCCCCCTACCCTCTCTCTCCCTCTCTCTCTCTCTCTCACTCTTTCTACTCTTGCAAGTGTCCCTTTGTAGGTGGCACTGCCCTCTGGCTGCATCACACCAGGAGACCCAGTGTCTTCTTGTCTGGCCCAGGAAGCTGCGAGGGCAGGGGTGCTGCCCTCCCTGGACGACCTCTCCCTCTCACCCTAGGCCTTGGCTGCTCCATTTCTGTGCTCCCTCGGAGGCCACAGCCCTAGCCACCAGGGCCCCTTGCGTAGCTGTCCAGCCCTTCCTGCTCCAGCCCGTGTCCCTGTGGCTTCAGCGGTTCATCTCGTGGCCAGTGGAAGCTGTGCACGCTGACCTTCTGCTCTCCTGTTGCTCCTCAGCCCACTTTTGTGGTTTCAGATCTCAAATCTGCAGAACTGCCTTGAAAGCCCACCAGCATCGGAGCCCGGATGTTTCCGGGCCGGCCCAGCAGTGACGGGCAGCGCTGTCCAGTCCTGCAGCTCGCTCCTCACCAGCTCCTTCAAGCTGGGCGCTGGGCCTGTAAAGGTGTTTTCTGTATTGATGTCAGACCTGCTTTCTGAGAATTTTTACCCAGTGAGCACTTACCTGGCCTTTGACCCGAGGAGTGGCACTGATGGCAGTTTGTGCTCAGGCATATTCAAGCACTTAAATGTCTTCTTTCTGTCTTTCTTTTTCTTTCTTTCTTTTTTACTTTCAATTGCTTTGAGATACAGATGCGTGCGTGCCCCCCCCCACACACACACGCGCGCGCGCACACACGCACACACGTGTGTGTGTGTTGAACCAGTTTTGAGTTCAGTAGCACTAACTGTATTCACATTGTTGTGTAATAGACCTTTAGCCAAGTGTGGTGGTGCACACCTGTAGTCAAGCTATTCGGGGGCTGTGGCAGGAGGATCAGTTGAGCCCATGTACTCAGGACCAGTCTGGGCAACAAAGTTGAGGCCCTGTCTCAAAAAAAAAGCAGATCTCTAGAAGTTTTCATCTTGCAAAATTGCAACTCTAAACCTACCAAACAATCCCCTCTCCCCCGACCCCCAGCACTGGCAACCACCATCCTACTTCCTGTTTCATAATTTGACTGCTCTAAATATAAGCCAGCTGGGTGTGGCAGCACATGCCTGTAGTTCCTGCACTCAGGAGGCTGAGGCAGGAGGATCTCAAGTTCAAGGCCAGCCTCAGCCACTTAGAGAGACCCTCAGAAACTTAGATATTTTAGTTTTTATCTAGTTGTTATTTTAGAAAAATAAAAAGGGCTGAGGATGTAGCTCAGTGGTAAAGCATCTGAGGATTGGATCCTCAGTACCAAAATAACTAGATAAATAAATATTAGCGGAATCATATGGTCCTTGGTGACAAGCCCATTTCACTCAGCATAAGGCTCATTCATGTTGTAGCCCATGATAAGATTTCCTTCTGTTTCAAGGTGACATAATATTCCTCTGTATGAATGTAACACATTTTCTGTGCCCATTTATATGTAAATGGTATTTGCTTCTGTGTCTTGGCTGTTGTGAATAATGCTGAAATGAACATAGGTTTGCAAGTAATTTTTGAGAGTCTGCTTTCAATTCTTTTGGCTGTATACCCAAAAGTGGGATTAGGACTCACATGGTAACTCCAGTTTTAGATTCCTGAAGACCTCCACATTGTTTTCCACAGGGACCGCATGGCTTTATAGCTCTACCAGCCGTGCACAGAGGTTCCAGTTTTCCACAGCCTTGCCAACACTATTACTTTCTGGTTTTTAATCACCTAGTTTTAACAGAGTCATTCTAAGTGGATGTGTGGCTTTGGTTTTCATCTCCAGAGAAGGTGACATCGAGCATCGTTTCGTATACTGTGGACCCTCTGTGCATCTTCTTTGAGTAATTGTCTGTGTGGGTCCCTTCCTGTTCTGTTTCACTGAGGGGGACCTTTCTGTGTCCTGGGTGTGAAGCTCGCAGCAGAGACGCATAGACTCGGGCTTCCCGCTGCCTGCGCCACCTCTTAGCTCTGTCCTTTGCTTCATGGTGCAGGGTTTTCAGTTTGATGTGACCCCTTTGTCCACTTCTGCTTTTGTCACGTGGGCTTTTGGTCTCATAGTCAAGGCATCATTGTCACTTCAATGCCTTGAAGATTTTCCCATTTTCTTTTGAGAAGCTTAGGTCTTTGATTCATTGTGAATTAATTTTTTTTATTTGATGTAAGGTAAGGGTCCAACTTCATTCTTGTTTTTATTCGTGCTTTCTAGTTAATACATAGATCTATAACGACGTGATCCTACAGGGAGGGAATATAATTTGTCCATTCCAGTCCCTATATGTGGATATCTAGTTTTCCTGTTCCAATTTTGAAGACTTTTTTTTTGGTGTGGGATCTTGCTGAAGATCATTTGGCCAGACACATGATTTCTAGACTCTATTCTGTGTGTCTGTCTTCATGACAGTAAGTAATCACATCAGCTCAGCTGGGGGTGGAACTCAGTAGTAGAACATTTGCCTAGCTTGTGTGATGCCCTCGTTTTGATCCCTAGCTCCAAAAAGAAGAAGGAAAAGGAAGAGGAAGAGGAGGAGGAGGAGAAAAGAAAGGAAGGAAGAAATGCCAGCCTGCTGACCTAGGATGACCTAGAAGATCATCTTATGGGTTTTCCAGACGCGGCTTCATGGAGACGTGGGGTACAGGGTCTTGTAGGCTGTGTTCTCTCAAACTCGGGTTTCAAGAGACGTGAGTATTGTGTGCTACTCGGAAGCATTTCCAATGTGGGTGACGAAGGTGAGCCATTTGCCTGGTGGTCCTCAAAGCCAACCCTGTGTTCAACACGAGTGAGCTCAGCGGAGCAGCTGCTATAACAAACAGGACTTTCTCCTTGGGTCTGTTGAAGAAGAAGGAGGACTTGGAAGGACTGTTCACCTCTAGGCTCTTGGTGGCTTTAGAGACTCCGGACCTCCAAGTGTAGAGGTCTTTCTCTCTGGACCAAAGGGGAGGCAGTAGAAGGACGAACAACCAGGAGAGAGAGAGTTGTGCCCTGGCAAGTCCCAGGGCCATGCAGAAGGGGTCCTTCGGCAGGCGGGGGGTGGAGCTGCGACTGAGGTGAGGAGAGCCAGAGGCACCACCTGGAGCAGGACCCCGCTGCCTTCGGGAGCTGTGCTGACTTGGGGTGAAAAGAGGGAGAGAAGCTTCCCTCATTCATTAACCGACCGTTTCCTGCGGGTGAGGAGGAGGGAAGAAGAGCTGCCCGCATGTCCCTGCCACCTGAGCTAGAAAAGTGCACTTGAGGGAGCTGGGACAAGGCACACCGCGCATGACCTAGGGAGGGATGCCTCTTCAGCATTCGGGTCTCTGCCCAGCAATGACCCTGAGCCAAGATGGCCATCCTTCCTAGAACTCCCTCCCCACTGTACTTTCTCAACACCCACTTCCTTCTTACCAACCCCAGTTCTCCTTCTGGTTGGGGCCTTACTGTAAGAACGCCTTTGAGAGAAAGCACCAGACAAAGAGCCAACCAAGACACAGCCAGGGAGAGCGCGTGAGCCCTCAAACACAGCTGCAGAATTAAAACACAACAGAGGAACAGAGTGTTCCAGCTGATGAACTTCCTGTTGATGGTCTCTGGGGAGCAGGGGAGAGCTGGAGTCCTAGAATTGGGGTAGAAGGAGGGCAGGGGCCTGGCGGGGGTGGGACTTGAGTTTCCCAGCATGATCACCAGGACTGGGTCCCACCTGCAAGCGGAGACACACTTCCTGGGGCTGGTCAGAGGAGGCCTTGGGCCACTGATGTGCCCAACCTACAGCAAAACAGGATGTTAGCTCAGACGTGACTGAGCCAAGAGATGCAAACTCCTCCCGGGCCCACCCCACCCCACCCCACCCCCAGCCCCTGCACCCACACACGGCTGCAGAGCCACGGCTGTCTCCAGGGTGACTGGCGTCTGCGTCCTGGCCAGCCCTGCAGTGGGGGTTAGATTTAGTTCTGACCCATTTCATTAGGGTTTCAGACTTTCGGTCACTCTGACAAGGAGTCCCTTACCACATCCCTGGGGACTGAAGGCAGTTATCCAGTGAGGAAGTGAGAGTGGACAGTTTGCCCTCTACAGTCCCCATGTGGTGGGCCCTAGGTGCCTGTGCTCATTGGGCTGTCGGCTGCAGTGTCCGCAGGCCAGCATCTGGGGTCTCTCTCTCTCTTGCTCATTCTTACCTCTTCTCTTGCTCTTCACTGCCACCAAAAAGTCCCTTCCTGTGCCTTGAAGGAAACAGAAATTACAAACCGGAAGCAATTCTGCTCAAGTTCAATTATCTTCAAAATGCAAATATCACTTCTTTTTATGGGCAAATGCCAAGCTTAAAACACCCCAGAACAGCACTCTGGGTGTGGCCACCTTTCCTGTGGAGGTGAGCGGGGGCTCTTGAATGACCACTGCTTGAAGGCCACCTGTGCCCTGTTGGAGCAGGTGCTGTGAGCCAAGGACACCTGAAGCTGGCCCTCCCCACAAGCTCCTCTGGCTCTGGGGCTACCTGTTCATAGGCTCCTTCTACCCAGGGCTCCGCTGTCTACTGTCCATTGTCCACCCACCACCAAGCACACCTAGGTGGGCCTCCTCTGCCTCTTGCCCCTGGGTCTTCCTTGACCACTCCGTCCCTGTGGCCCTGGCCTTCTTCAGGACCAAGCGGCGGTCAGCTGTTGGCGGCCTAGGGACACTGGGTAGTGCATTTAGTGTGCATTCTGATTCAAACATTAGGGACTGTTGTCACTTTCTCAGATAAATGACACCCATAAGGCAGGCTCCTGGGTTTGCCTCGGGGGGCCAGCATAGCAGGGGACACCAAGAAGAGAAGACTTTTGGAATCCCAAAACCGGGAAGCAGAAAAGGTAAAGAAGACTTAGGCCATGTAATAATGATGCCCCCCCAAACAGCAAAAGCACAGAGAAGGGGGGCAGGGGTTTGAGAGCCAGGGGGTGGGAGCAAGTGGACCAGCGTATGGGAGGCAAGGCCTGGGAAGAGACCAGAGCGCCCCCTTCCCTGGGAGGCCTGCACCAGCGCCTCACCACGGAGCCACCTCCCCAGCCCTTAGGTTTTATTTAGAGACAGGGTCTCACAAAGTTGCTTGGGTCCTCGCTAAGTTGCAGAGGCTGGCCTTGAACTTGTGGTCCTCCTGCCTCAGCCTCCTGAGCCACTGGGATTACAGGTGTGCGCCACTGCACTGGGCTCTGTAGACCTTTGTAGATGTGTTAAGTCTGAGTGATATAAAAACCCCTTTCACCTCCCCTCCTCCTCCACCTCTTTGGCAAAAAATGCAGAATTGCATCTGAACTTGGAATATTCAAGAACCGTCACATAAAACAGGTGAGAAGAATTAAGGCAAAGACAAGTCCTTCCTTTGAGTCGGGCTATAGTCGAGTAGACCCATTTATAAGTAGAAATCGGAACCACAAGCGGAGGCTTGGCATTGAGAGGTGAACTTGGAGTCCCGCTGTGGAGGAGGCTGCGCATGCTGCTGGAACCTGCCCCTGGCTGTGACCTTTCCTTCATGAGAGCATGTGGCTGCCCTTCCTGTTGCTGTGACAACCATGACCCCACGTCTGTCACACATGCTACATGCTGACTGTTCCCCTCCCAGCAACCCTGTGTGGTGAGTCCTTCCTCCCCATCTACAGATGAAGAATCTGAGGAGCAAAAAAGTATCTCGTCCAAGGTCACAGTTGGACCCAGGCGGCCTGGTGCCAGAGCTGACCCTAAGTGGCTGTGCTACCCTCTGTGTCACCACAGTTTTAGGTGGGCGTGTAGAACTGGATTATAGATTTAATCGCCTACCTTTCACACAGGGATGGTGCACATTTATTTGTTCACCCAACATGTATTTTTACCAGACTTGAACCCAGTGCTGATCATGGAACCTGAAGACAGGGTGGACTGGGCCTTTGTTGGGCTTGGAGTTTGGTGGAGGACACAGCAAACAGGTGGTTCTAAAATCCTCACCATGACAGGAGCAAGAGAGGCAGGAGCTGGCCATGCCTCCCCTCAGGTGGCCAGGACCGTCTTCGCAGGAGCCTACGCTGAGAACTGAAGGGTGTGAGAGGCAGCTCTCTGCAAAACAGGGTGGACTGCAGTGGAGGAAAGAGCCCACCGGGAGGCCCACCGCTGGGGGCCGTAGTGAGAGGCTGGGGGTTCTCTGAGGGAGGCCAGGGAGATGAGCGCTACCCTTCAGGGAACAGCGTGAGCCCCGCGGGAAGCTGGCTTCATCCCCAATGCGGGGCGCCACCAGGTGTTCTAGAAGGGGCGGGGAGGTAGCGCTGGAGGCAGGGAGGACAGGTAGGAGCTGCCCAGTCCAGAGGCGGGTGGTGGAAGGAGGCGGAGGGCAGCACCCAGCAGAATCACAGCACCCCACTGGGAGACATGAAGAGGGACCAGGAGACTCCCCTTTCACCATGAGCAGAGAGACGCGTAGCTGGACCAGCCAAGAGGGAAAAAGACCAGGAGAGGACAGAGGTGTGCAGCTGATTTACCAGAGTCGCACCCTGGAACTCAGGTCCAGGGACTTTTCTCTGCCTGCTGCTGTCCCTGAGAAGACAGGGATGCACTGCAGGCGGGACTCAGCACCCCTCCTAGAATCCATTCCACCTTATCAGTGTAGAGTCACTGGGGAGACTCCAGTGGTGGCCACGTGGGGACGGCCACTGGGCCACTGCGGCTCCTCGCCTTACTAACAAGAACCTCACACCGTGCTTCGGCCTGGCTTCCTGCAAACGGACCTTTGTTTCTGTACATGTCACCCCACCTACACTCCAGAAAAATCAGTTCTTTTTCTTTGTATGAGAATAAGGCAGAAAATGGTGGTCCATGTCACCTGCTGTTCTAAATTTAGACAGGAGCTGAGACATACAGATTGTGATGATGTCTTCAATTTTTCAAATTATTTGTTTCCTTCTCAAAGGACATTAGTTTCCAACCCCCTCCTCTGCCACACACTCTCCCTTCACTCCGCTTATCTCTCTGTGTTTCTCTTTCTGGCCTTTCTGGAAAATTTCTTTCTCCCCATCTCTGCTGCTTAGTTTTTGGAGGGACTGTCTCTCTCTGTGCTTGTGTGTCTGATTTTGTCTGATTGCAAGTTTGTATCTAACTGGATCAGCTGTATACCTTCAGCTATCACAACAACAACAAGAAAAATAACCCAAAAAGTTTAAACTATAAAGAAATCCCAGGGGGAAATCTCTCCAGGATTGGTCAATTTAGTACCTCAACAAAGTCATTGAGTTCTTTATTAAATGAATATTTACTGAGTGCTTATTTGTGCTTGACCTTGACTTTGGCACACCAAATAGATACCAAGAAAAAAGAAACAAAAGCATCTGTGTTCCGGAAGTTTTGCCTCATGGCAACAAAGTGGCTGCTTCAGTTCCAGTTATCAGATAGAATAATATTTCTTCCTGCATACCTCTTTAGCATAAAAGATAAACATTTCTCATTTTATCTCAACCAAAATTTCTTTACTTATCCCCCAGTTCTACACAGGGAAAAAGGTATTTCCACAGTTGGCTTAGACTATTCAGGATTTACCTGTTTGCTGAAACTAAAAAAACTAACAAAACCAAGCAAACAAACAAGACAAAACCCATGGACATCAGGCCTTGCTCCCTGTAGGTCTGGGTGGGCTCACTCACAGGTATTTCTTCAAAGTTCCCTGGGTCGTCCCCATTTTCAGCCAGAAGTGGAACTTGTGGGCAGGTGGCTGCTTGGCACACGTCCTCAGGGCTGAGGTTGATGGGTCTTTGGTAGATCTGCCCAGTTTCACTCCTGACCCTGGGATGGTGCCTCAGAGGGGAAGGGCCAGCCCCTGGGACTCCGTCCAGTCCCCTGGGGTTTTCACCAGTGTCGCTCTTGAGCCCTGGTGGTTGGGCCTGCGGCCTGCCCTCAGCCACAGCCTGCCCAGCCTCCCCAGAGCCCCCACTGACTGCAGGGCAGAACTAGGCCTCCCTGGAGAGACCCAAGGCTTTGAGCACCCTCTGATTTTGGTATCCAAGGAGGGGCAGGGGTGCGCGTGTGCGTGTGCGTGTGCGTGTGTGTGTGTGTGTGAGAAAGAGAGAGAGAGAATCTGTAGAGTTACGAAAGAAATTTTGCTTCTCGCTCTGAATTTTAAAAATAGATGACCAGCAGAACAGTGTGGCCCCATACGAAAAGCTGATTGATCTGAGCTTTGTATAGTTCTGTTTGGAAACTAATTCCGTTACTACTTATCATGGCTTTGATGATCTGTCCTCCCACGGGGTCCTTTCTCCCATGGCAGCCCCATTTCAGAAAAGCTCTGTCTTTGATGTAAAGGTAAAGATCCTACAAATTTGCTTCATTCATTCATTCATTCTTCCATGTATCCATCCATCAAATATTTGGCATGGGCCTGGGGAAGCCAGTGGCTAGGGGCTCCTGGCATGGGCCTGGGGAAGCCAGTGGCTAGGGGCTCCTGGCATGGGCCTGGGGAAGCCAGTGGCTAGGGGCTCCTGGCTGGGCCTGGGGAAGCACAGTCCCTCCCTGGTGTTCCTTGCTTAGTCCATGCAGTCTTCCACTTATGGCTTGGCTGGTTCAGACCATCAGGGCATGTGCAGGGAAGGCCCAGGGACTGAGGAGGAAGATCCTTTGAGGCCTCAGACCCCACAGGAGGGGGAGGCACTGACTGCTCAGGAGCCACTTTCCCTTCCCCTAGTTGTCACCTCCTCCCACAGAGCTGCTGCTCATCCAGCAGGCCACAGCGCTTCCCAGCTGGGTTCTCTCCAATCTGGCTTCTGGGGGTCTTGTAGAGGTCAGTTCAGGGAGCACACACCCACGGCCACTCACTCACCGACCCTCCTCCTCCCCTCCTCCTCCCCTCCTCCTTCCACTGCGTCCTTGGTCCAAGGTCTCTGCCTGGGCCCAGGGAGCTCTGCAGCAGCACCCCACTTTGCATTTGGGACCCAGAAACATGGGGGGAAAGGTCATGCATTTGCTTTGCGGGTCTTCTGTTCCAGCCCAGGGAGGGCCTGGGCAGGGTGTGGAGAGCAGCCACAAGGCACCTTGGGTGGCTGTCATGTGGTCAGGGCCTAACGGTTTCCTTTGGGTAGGCATTTCCTCCCTTCTGTTTGTGAAGCCAGACACCTGTACAGGGCTGCCCCATTCTGAGCAGAGAGCAGGACAGGTTGAGGGAGAAGGGAGAGGCCCAGGGTGCCGCGTTAGAAGACATGATCATAGATGATGCTCTGATTATCAGCTCAGTCCTGTGCCTTTAAAAAAAGAAAGAGAAGGGCTGGGGCTGGGGCTCAATGGCAGAGCACTTGTGTAACATGTGTGAGGCACTGGGTTTGATCCTCAGCACCAGATAAAAATAAATAAAGACATTGTGTGTCCATCTACAACTAAAAAGAAAATTAAAATAAATTAAGTAAAGATATTGTGTCCATCTACAACTAAGAATATTTTTTAAAAGAAAGAAAGGGAAGAGTCAGGCACACAATATGCTACCAGGAAAAGTGCTCTGCTCCCACCAGCCCTAACCCTGTGACCTCACCTCTGCAGTTGACAGTCTTGGATGGGAGGGGCTTTGCCTGAACTCCTGGGATGCCGGCCGACCCCAGAGTAGCTGGCTCTAAGTGAAAGGCTCTTATCCATTTGAAACTTACACATGAAGCTAGGGATAGCTTATCCTTCCAGAGCACCTATTACATGGTCAAGGTGAGGAAAATGAGAACCCGAGGCCCGAGAGGTTAAGTGACCTGTCCAAGGAAACACGGGGTTCCACCCTCCTTCTGCAGGTTGCTGAGATCGGGTCTTCCCCCTGTGCTCAGCTGGGAAAATGAACTGTCCAGTCTGGCAGGAGGGCTGCGAGCGATTTAGAAGGTCAGGCCTTAGAAGTCTCTACGACAGGAAGGCAGCCACTTCTCTAAGACTGGTGCACAAACTAGCCGCTGAAGTGCTCGAAGGCTCATAAGCGTTGCTTGAAGAAGGGTAAGGGTTGCGGCCAGTTCTCAGCTCCTTCCTCCCCCAGGGTGTCCCCATCTCTCTTCGCAGCACTTGCTCACCTGTCCCACTGTCCACCTCTGGGAGGGACCCCCTTCCCTGGCTGAGTTGGGATCAAGGCTTGGAGACAGGCTGGGGGTAAGAATGCTGCAGCAGGACACGGGCACCCAAGTCCCTTCTGCTGGCCAGTCCCAGGGGCATCTCCCCTGTCTCTCTGTCCTGGGAAGCGGGTCCCAGGAGGGGCGCCTAGAGCTGTGGCCAGCACAGACAAACGGGCAGCAGACAATGACCTTGGCACTGATTCCAGTCCCATGTCCTCCCATGCAGACTCTTTGCGGTCCGAGGGCTGGGCCGGCCCTGGGGAGAGTTAGAGGCCGGGTCTTATGGGAATGGATGCTCAGGATCCTGCCCTTGCTATATTTACTGGGAAGGAAGGAAAGGCCCTTTGAGGCAGCTGTGGGAGCTGAGATTCCCACAGAACCCAGAGCACAGATCAAACCAGATTTGAGGAAAGTTTTCCAACAGCGACTGGAAAGCTTTGCCTTGATTCCTTATATTTCTCCTCCTCCCTCCCTGAAACACAGGTGGATGGCAGGTGGGCAGAGCGCAGCGGTTCACCGAACTGGGGAGGGAGGGGCGTCGGGGAAGGTGGCCGTCGCGCCACGCGGAGCCGCGGTCTGAACAGCTCCCGCAGGTGGAGCGGCCGCCCCGGGGGACCCCGGGAAAACCAGGTGTGAGGTTCGCTGCGAAGAGAGGAGAGCGCGGAGCCCAAGGCAGGGAGGGTGGACTCGGGAAGGAGGAGGGCGGCCGACGCCCCTGACCCCCGGCCGGGCGAGCGGAGCGGGCCGCGCACCCCTTGTTTGGGCAGATGGACGGAGTCGCCGGCGCGCCGGTCCCGCCCGAGGAGGGACAGTGTCTGTTTAGAGCTGCGTCTAAATTTAAACGCCCTCGCCCGCCGCCTCCGCCCCGCCCTCGCCCGGGCCCTCCTCCTCCGCGTCCTGCTGCGCGCGGCCACTGCTGCGCCTCGCCTTCGCCCGCCGCGGCGCGACTCGCCGGGGACATGGAGGTAAGCAGCGGCCCGCGCCGCGGGGCGACCTGCCGGGCAGCCGGGCGGGCGCGGGGGGCCTTTCCCGGCGCGGCTCCTGGCCCCGCACTCGCACGCTGGAGAGAAACCGAGGGCGGCCACCGCTCTGATGGGACAGAGTGCGGCCACGACCGGCCAGAGGGCAGAGCCCCGAATCCCAGGGGTGGCCCTGAAACTGAAACAGCTGCCGTGAGCGCCTGGCCCTCTTTGCAGGTCTGGGGCTTCCCTTGTCACTTGCAGAGTGGCCTTTCTGGAGTCCCTCTGCGCCCGCCTCATCTTTCATAACTTTCTGAAAAGCGCCCCTAACCCGCCGTCAGATGACCTTATTTCTAGTGAGACCCTAGGCTCCCGGATGCCCCTGTCCTCTGAGACTGTGTGTATGGGGACCCGTTGGTCAGATCTGGGGGGGCTCCAGAGGGGACCCAGGCTCCTCTGACTGCTGGGAGGAGGGCTGGGGACTTTCTGTCCGGTCCAGTCTTAGTGGGGTGAGGGCCACCACCGTTCATAGGAGGAATGGCTTCCTCTCCCCCTTAAAACTGACACCTAACCTAAATCAACCTTAGCAGGACCTGGGGCTTTTGAAAAGAGCAAAGAGAAGCCGCAAATGTCATGCTGTTTTTAAGGTGGTTCCCACTGGTACTCTAGAGGACACTGCTCCCCTCTGGGCTGTGGTCTGCTGTCCTCAGGATGCAGTAACTGCTGGCTCTTACTAGCCAGCTGTGACGCCTGAGGCCAGTCGCCTAAGCTGGACTCCTGCTTGCCTTCTCTGAAGGGACAGTGGGTTTGTCCTGCATGTTCACCTCACCCACTTGTCTTCCAGGAACTGGGATCACCTGGGAGTCTTCAGGGAGGGAGGGACCATGAGATCCACTGGGGTCTGAGAAGGACTGTCTGTGGAAACAATCACAAAGCAGAGAAAGTTGCTATAGATGCAGGATCCCTCCTCTTGGAGACTTGGGATGCCTTAAACCTGGGGGAAGGGGTTCAATACGAATTATGCCTTTTCTAATCCCTCCAAGAATGGACTGAGATAAGAGGAAAGCGAGTTTACACTTAAAGCAAGTTTGAACTTCAGGAAAACCTCCAAAGGGCTCCTGCCACTGGGGTACTTTCTCTCCCACTCAGTTGAGGAAGGAGCAGTGGGTGGTGGAGACCCTGAAACAGTCAGCACAGCAGTTTCCTGTGTGGTTTGGGGGTGGGGCATGAAAAGGGAAGGCCCACCCTTTAGGAACTGAGAGATGGAGAGAACTCCCTGGAGTTTTGGGGCCTGGGAGGGGCCGGGAGGAGGTGTCCCTCAGCCTGACAGGAAGCCTGGCAGATCACTGTGACCACCCAGGTTTGCTGGTTGGGAATGGCTGCTTTTGAAGTGTCTGTCAAAATCACCTGAAAAAAACCTGCCACTGCTAGTATTGGTGAAGTGAAGGGGGCACAAGGGGCAGGAAATGACGATGCTCAGCTAGGAAGTTGGCTTGTCCTGGTGGGGCACAGCGAGCGTGGTGGGCTTGGGGATTCCTGAAAAGCTCAGAGTGGTTTTGAGAGGTGAAGGCCACTCTTGAGACATGGGGGAACTGCTGGTTTGGGAAGAAACTGAGTTAAATTCCTTCCAAGACTAGGAATTCAAACCAGACCTGTGAGGCTCACCTTCCCCTCTAGAACCCTCTTACCTGGCAGGAGCCATTGGGAATTTTTTTTTAAGTCAGTTTTATCTCGTCCTCGACATTGGTCCTTCCGTCAGCCTGGACGTTGGCCCTCTGGAATAAACAGGAGTCGGGTGGCTGCCGTCAGACCCCTGCCTTTGACACCCACAGTCCAGTAGGATTCCCTGTGTCCTGTCGGGTGTATGACTTTCAGTGTGTGTGCTAAATAAGTGACTGCTCAGAACACGAAAGGAGTGCAGAGCAGGTGAGCCTCAAAGGAAGCCTCAAGCAAGGTGAGAGGAAAGCCGGAGGAGCAGGTGCAGGCAGAACATGCCCCTCTGTTCAGGAGAGTAGGCCAGTGGCTGGAGGGAGAGCAAGAGAGGAGGGGCCACTGAGTCACAGCAGGTGCTGCCCAGCAGGTGGGTGGGGGCTGGGACCCAGGCCATCTGCAGGAAGGAAAATCCCCTTGCCTAGCTGTGTGCCTTTTTCCAATTCGTACAGACTGTCTTCTCTAGAAAAGATTCCAGGTGAAGTTATTGTAGACTCCTGGTGTACCCAGAGGACAGAGGAGTATAGTGAAGAAGGAGCTGGAGACTGAGAACTTCAGATTTAAATCAATAGTCTCAATTCCTTCTATGCAGATTGTAGGCCAGCTGGTGTGTGTCCCCCTGGATTCTGCTCCATGGGCAGTAGAAACTCTGCAGTGTTGCATAAGAGCGTGGCCCTGAGGCAGCAGGGGTGAGAGGGCAGAGGTGCAGCTCATGGAGTGTGCGAGCCAGTCACGGTGGGGAGCCCCTCTGAGTGAAGGTGTATTCTGACTGAGGGAGCAAGAATGCAGACACAGCAAAGAGGGAAGACCATGTGCTGGAGAGACGGCAGAGGTCACTTCCTGGATCACTGATAGAGGAGCTGGGATCACCTAGGTTTGCGCTCACCAAGGTGTCCAGGCAGGGGCTGTGTGCAGGTCTGCAGGCCTCCAGAGATTAGCACCGTGCAGAGCCTCAAATTACGGTTCTCAACAAAAGCTTGCTTGGTGAATTTAGCAGAAACTGGGAGCTCCTCCCCCCTCAATCTGCAGCTCAGAAGCCACCACCTCTGCAAGCCCTCCCAGATGCCTTCAGTCTCGAGTCTCAGAATACTTTGTTCAGACCACCATTGGGGCATGGGGCAGCTCTGTGACTGTCACCTGCCTAACTCTCCCTGAAGGTTGCAGGAGGCAGGGCCATTCTTACGTATTCTAGGGCCAGTGCCATCCAATAAAGACTTGTTAGATGAGTAAGTTTGTTGCTAGAAATGAGACAAAGATCAGATTTTTTAAAAAACAGTGTTTAGGTATGTTAGCTTTGATTGTTCTAGGCAGAAATTTCCATGGCTCCATGAGAAATACAGACCTCTTGTGATACAAATGTGGTTCTTCTGTAGAAAAAAATAATGAGTGAAGTTATCATAGATAGGAACCCAGAGAACATAGGTGTTTAGTAAGAAAGAGCTGGAAACTTTGAACACTGAATTTAAATTAGTATTCTCAGTTCCTTCAAACTGTAGGCACTGCCAAGTAGCCTGAGGGTGCTTGAAAAAAGTTTAACTTTCCCAGACTAAATCCTTCACTTGTTCAGCTAAATAGTAGATAACATGAAAATTCAAAGTATCTCCCCACAACATGTGTCTGCTATTTAGTTGAACCAATGAAAGGTGTAAATGAGTGAAAACTAAACTTTATCACCACTGAACAAATCAGGAATTCCTGGATGGAGACAGTGAAGGAGCCTGTCCTCCTTGAGGCATGCCAGGTTCCTCCTGGATATTGTCTGCACCGTTTATTTGATATCCGTTGAGCATTTATTATGTGGCATATCTTGTACTTAAAATGTTACTTAAAAATATAGAGCCTTGGGTCTGGGGCTGTGGCTCAGGGGTAGTGCTCACCTAGCATGCATGAGGCACTGGGTTCGATCCTCAGCACCACATAAATATAAAGGTATTGTGTCCACCTAAAACCTAAAAATAAATAATTTTTAAAAATATAGAGAGCCAGGTGCAGTGATGCATGCCTATAATCCCAGCAGCTCTGGAGGCTGAGGCAGGAAGATTGTAATTCAAAGCCTCAGCAACAGCGAGGTGCTAAGCAACTCAGTGAGACCCTGTCTCTAAATAAAATACAAAATAGGGCTGGGGATGTGGCTCAGTGGTTGAGAGCCCCTGAGTTCAATCCCTGGTGCCACCCTCCTCCCCCACAAAATAGAGAGCTGCCATGTCTTCATCCTCAAGGAGTGACAGTATTGGTAATGACAAGAGTGTACGTGCTGGTATACCTGACGTGTCCACTTTGTAGTCTGTTTTCATTCATTCCGTTTGGCCTTATTAAACATTTCCTAAGGCATTAAAAAATATTACGAGGACAGAGGAGACCCCAAGCCCTAGAAAACGTTATTTGGAGGTGTCCCCGCAGAAGCCCACACTCTCGCTGCCCTCCGCCCACAGGCTGGGGCTGGGGTCGTCATTGGAGGTATCGCAGCCTCTGGAAGCTGGAGTGGGGACTGACACATGCCCTGCATTCCTCTCTGGCTCCACTGAGCTCTGGGACCCCTGGCAATGGCTTCACTTGGTTGCTTGTCCCAGGGGAAGAGGGGCACTGGGGCCGTGGGGCACCCTGGCGGGCCCGATGAGCACTGGAGGCAGATTGCAGAGCCTCCGTGGGAAATCTGAGCACTGCAGCTCCGCAGCCCCGGAATCTTATCAGGGCCGCAAGAGAAAGCATTCAGTTCCAGAGAAATCCGAAGGCAGCTCTGCCTCCCTCCAGTGATAACACCAGAGGTCTACAGAGCCAGCCTAGCCGGCTCAGCTCCCTGGAAGTCCTGGAGAAGTCACCCAGCTCTGGGTGGAACAGGGCTCTCTGACTGTCCCCACACACAGTAAAGAACAGAGGTCTGTGGCGGGCAGTGCGGCCCTCATCTGGGAAGGTGCGGCCTGGGCCTTGAAGTGGGTCCCGGGGGAGTCTTCTTATCAGAGTTTCCTCACAACAGCAAGATGCACCTCATGTTCAGCCTGCAGGATGTCGTGTGGATACTTTTATCTCTCTGTGCCACACACCAGACAATGACAATGCTGACAAAGTAGAGACTCAGCCACCCCAACCACATGGCCCCAGGGCCCTGCAGGAGCTCTTCGCCCAAGGGGGTCTGCCTGGGCCAGACCAGAGAGGACACTGTCCCTGTCCCTTGGTCTTTGGGCAGTGAGCACCCCATCTGTTTCCTCTTGGGCTTTCTGAATACCTTTCTCCTGGGAATCGTGGAAACTGGGCCCCTGGGGCACACCCTGTAGTTTGTGTTTGGATGCATCAAACCC